TTTTCTAGAATTGGGATGCTTTTTGCTTTGTTTCATTTTGGGGTCACACCTGGCGATGCTTAGGGTTTATTTCTGGCTCTGCACTCAGGAATTACTTCTCGCAGTGTTCAGGGGACCAATAAGATGCCAGGGATGAACCCAGATTGGCCACATGTAAGGTAAGTGCTCTACCTGCTGTACTATATCTCCAGACCCTAGGATGCTTCTATCCCTACTGAATAGGAAACTCTGGAGGCAGAAACTATGTCCAATATATCTTTTGCACCCTACACCCATTAGCAATTAGCAGGAGAATAATATTGATTTATTCGGTAACTTTGTGTGCTAGATACAATTTATTTAATCCCTAAATTCAATATGTCTTAATTAAGAAGAGTGATGTGGGAAGGCAGCAGGCTAGGAGGTGCCAGTGCATTCAGGGAATCAAGAGTAGTTTGGCACCACTAGAGCGTGGAGTGTGGGTGTTCCGGAAGGGTAAGAGGTGAGACTGGAGAAGAGTTTCCTGGACCTGGTCAGGGTAACGGGCCAGCAGGAACACTGCAAGAGTTGAATCAGGGAAATAACACACCACAAGATGTGTCATTTCAAGTATTGACTCTGGATTTGAAGGACAGAGAGAGGGGAGTTTGGTAGGTGGGTTAGATTAGCATGTCAGGAGTATGCTAGGGCGGGCAGTTCAAGTGAACTCCCTCTCCCCTTTGTGCAAGGACACTTGGGACAGACTGATAAAACTTCCAGAAAGGATCAGTGACAGCAATGGTCTTAACATGACCCTCAGGGGCTGGAGAAATAGCACATCAGGTAGGGCGTTTGCCTTGCATGCGGCCGACCCGGGCTCGATTCCCAGCATCCCATATGGTCCCCCGAGCACCGACAGGAGTGATTCCTGAGTGCAAAGCCAGGAGTAACCCCTGAGCATTGCCGGGTGTGACCCAAAAAGCAAAAAAAAAAAAAATGACCCGCAGCCTCAGAAAAACACAACATTGGTGGGAAGGAGGATTTGTGCAGGAGAAGAGAAGTAAGTGAAGAGACAACCAGAAGACTGGAAGTGGAGATGCCCAATTTTATGAGAAGATCTTACAGACAAGATCCAAAGGCACTTCAAGAATGAGAAGAATGGAGGAAGGAAGGAAGGAAGCCTCCTGCAGTGGACAAAGACAAAGGCACAAGTCTCAGTCTTACCACATACCAGAGTCATTGTGTGGCTTTGGGCTTGTAATTTAACTCTTTTGCCTCTCCACCTATGCTAAATTGTTGGCTACTTATAAAATTAAAGGGATTAAATACATTGTATCTAGCACAGAAAGGTTTACCAAATAAAACATACTTCAGTCTCCTGCTAATGGGTGTGGAATACAAAAGATATATTGTAGTTACACAGTTCCCACCTTTAAAGGTTTGTTAGGTCAGGATAGAAGCCTCTCAATGCTAGAAAACAGAAAAGAGTGAGCAGAATAAAACTTAAGCCAAAGACGATCATGAGGGAAAAGAGGGCTTGAATCAGACACTCCTCTGAGGAACATCACAGGCTTGGAAAAGTCTTAATGAGTCTTCAGATTAGTGGATGTGGTACTGGGTGGTTGCAGACAGGACTTTCTAGGTTGCATTAGCATTTTGGCAGGTGAGGGTGCCTGCCTAGGGCTTTGTCCTGACTGGATTTGGGGGACCATGTGCAGTGCTGGGGATTGAACCCAAGTCTCCCATGTTCAAGGCAAGCAAAACTAGCCTGTGGTACTATATCTCCAGCCCTGGTGTTAACATCTTGACAAAAACTATGCTTAGCTGTCTGTGGTCATATGGGTTCATCAATGGCCATGCCAAATCTTTCTACTGCGACCCCTTATTATCTGAGAAAGACAATACAGATGAACACTGCCAGAAACAGCACAGATTCATTCTCTGCCTGATTTTGAATTTTTGTTTGGTTGTTGGACACTCAGAAACCTTTAACTGTTTCCAATGCTTTCATGACCCCCTGCATTCAGTTCACTGACGCCCTATGGGGTAGGGACCCACAGTTTAAGAAGCTGGACATTATGGAACTACTGATTTAGACAACAAAGGGACAAGTGGAAGGGTGAAAGGCGTGTCAGAGGGCAGAGGAAATCCATAGTTTCAGCAAAAGTGACTTCTGGGAAAAAAAGTCAATTTTGTCAAAAGGGGGGTGGAAAAGAAGTAAAATCTTTGGAAAGATGCAAGCTTGCCTAAATCCTTCTGCTTGTTTTGCTGTTTTATTTATATTTTTGTTTGGGGTCCACACCCTGAAGTACTCAGGACTTACTCCTGGCTCTGTGCTCAGGGAGCACTCCTGGTGGTGCTCAGGGGATCATATGTGATGGCAAGAATACAGCTTGGGCCCATCATGTGCAAAGCAAGCACCTTCAACCCTACACTATCTCTTTGGGTGCCTAAATTTCTCTGTTCCAGGTCTTCTCCCAAGCCATCAGAGGCCCAGGTGATACTGCTTCCTTTCTCTCATAGAGGAGAGAGGGAATACAGAGGGAAAGAGGTGCTTAGCTGTGCACTGTCTAACATGCAAGTCCAGTCGCCCCCCGCTTAGACCTGCCGATCCCTGGCTTATAGGTCCAGTCACACACCTTTACGGGTTTCAAATGAAGGGCTCCGTGTCCCTAGGAAGAGGGTTGTGAGGCTCTAGGAAGAAACACCTCTTGGCCTGAGGAAGCGGAAGCCCTCCTTGATCTCTCTTAAACCTAGCTTTGTCTCTGGTTGGAAACAGTAAATTCCCATGGGTTAAGGTTGTGGATCTAGTCTTTCTTTAGTAAGGGATAGGTGAATGACCCTTTAAATAGGGAGGTCTTTGCCCATGTGCATGCCAGTAGCTGCAGTCTTGGTGGAGACATAAAAGTTATAGCTGTGGGACTCTGTAGGGGTTGCTCTGATGCTCACACTATGCCCACTAACAGGCACATAGGGGTGCCTGTATTATACTTCCATTCAGTTGTGGTACTCTGTGGGGTTGCAGCCCTTTTCGTGTACACACACACACACACACACACACACACACACACACACACACACACACAGAGACCTGGCTGCAGTGGAACTGGAAATCGCTTACAGTCCTGAGGATCCCAGAAAGAGGATCTGCTAGGCACAAACAGAGCTGTCTGGACAGCACTCACCACACTGCAGATTTGAACTCATGAATTTATGATTACAAGGCAGGTGCGCTAAGCCCCTATATTATTCTTCCAGGATCCCGTAGAGGAGCATGCAGGTGCCAGAACCTTCTAAATCGTGGTATAAACCTATCAGAATCACAGATAAAATGTGCAAGCTATAGCCTTGGATCACGTGCAAACCCTGGTCATCTCAATAACAGATTGAAGAGGATGTGGGGAGGGAATAAATATAAATATTGTATATATTATCATCACTGCACTGTAGCACTGTCCTCCCATTGTTCATCGATTTGCTCGAGCGGGCACCAGTAACGTCTCACAATAAATTGTTAGACTTGTTGTTACTGTGTTTGGCATATCGAATACATCACGGGGAGCTTGCCAGGCTTTGCTGTGTGGGCGAGATACTCTTGATAACTTGCCGGGATCTCCGAGAGGGGCGGAGGAATCAAACACAGATTAGCCATGTTGACCGCATGGAAGGCAAATGCCTTACCCGCTGTGCTATATATTATATTATAGCCCATATATATTATATGCATATATATTTTAATATATTTATATTTATGTATTTATATCAATGTATTTATATAAGTATATTTAAAGGGTGTGTTAAAGGGCCAGCGTGATAGTATACTGGGTAAGGTATTTCATTCCATGGTACCACATATGACCTCCTGAGCACAGCACCGGGTGTAAGCCCTAAGTACTGCTGGGTATGGCTACAAACCAAAAATAAATAAAGGAGGAGTTCAAGGGAGAAAAGCATGCTTATTAGTTTCTCTGAATGCAAACAAAAGACTCAAAAGAATATTTGAAAACAAGAATTTGGGGGGACACGCACAGGATCATTCCTATAAGTATTTAAGAAATGCTCTCCTCAGCTTTTGGGAAACATCTGTGGCTGGGGAGTTTGAGATCTCTCCAGGTTGAGATTTCTCCAGAGACCCTATGCTTATCTCCTTGTAAAAGTGGGCCATCTTCTTCTGCTGTAAGGATGCTAAATTCTTAGGTAGCAAGAACTGGTGAGACAGATTGTCTCCTCCTGAGTCCTCCCCAAGAATGGAAGGTGTTCACATAATCTGCAGTCTCTTGGCGAGTGCTTGGACCCAGCCTGCTGAACAAACCTCATGTTTTCGTGGTAAACCTCAATGTGCAAGATACTTACATCTAAGAGGTGCCAATTTGATATTTTGCGAGGCTTGAAATGTGATGTTTTGAATGATTCGTGGCTTTGGTGAATTGAAATTGAATTTGAAACTATTTTCTAAATAGAAGCCACATGGCCAGGGCCCAGTCTAAGACCAGGCCTCAAACGCTGAGGCTTTTAAAGAGGAAGCAGTTGAATATTTTCCTTAAATGTGGTCTGTTTATTATGTGTTGCTTCTCTCTGATGGTATTTTGCAACCTACTTCATGTCCTTAAAAAAAACATGCTTATGAAACAGTTGGAAGAGCAGCATATGCCTAACTTGTGGAAACTGGAAAGGGGAAAAGGAGGAACAACTTCCCTTGTGTGCCCCCCCCACCCCAATCCTGCTCTACACCCCTGTTCTCCCGCTGGGCCTTCTTCCCCACAGCTGTGGCCCTTGAAGTCCTTCTCTGAGGGGTAACACGACAGTGCTCACAGATGTGGCCCTCTTCCGGGCTCCATGGCAGTCCTGGACTGATGGAAACTCTCCAGAGAGTCCAGGGAGGCCATCCTTCACCTTCCACTTGCCAGGTGGAACCAGAGACCCTTCCCAGAGGGAAGGGAACAGCCTGGAGCTACGGCAGGAGACCAGGAGGTGGAAAGCTAAACAAACAGGAAAATAGATGTCTGAATGGTTTCTTGTTGCTTTCTGAAGCAGCTGTTTACCTTGAACCGTGAGGTATGCCGAACTCTCTGCAGAGCCCTTCTGGTTGGTGGCTTTGCAGTGATAGACACCTTCATCCTCTTCTGTGACTCTTTCAATAAACAGCGTGCTGCTTCCTGGTCCTAAAATAATTCCTGAGGAGTGAGAGATGTTTAGATTAGTGGGTCTGGGTGACAAACAAAAACAGCTACTTGTGTAACACAACCCTCTTCCTATCATTATCCACTCAGACGAGGAAATCCGAGCTCTAGGTAACCTGGGGCACTGAAGCTTGTTTGTTTTCTCTCAGGGAGGCCTTTGAATGGCACCTTTGGCCCCACCTCAGAGCCAGCTCCAGCTCCCACAGCTGGGGTGGGGCTGTGTGTGTGTGTGTGTGTGTGTGTGTGGGGGTGCATCCTGACCAAGGCCATTGGTGATTCAGAGATGTGAGATGGGGCTGCCACCCACCCCTTGTTAACAAACAAATGTCAAAGGAGGTATCTCTCACAGTTTGCTGTTGTTTTGGTCTATTTTGGGGTCACACCTGATGGTGCTCAGGGATCACTCCTGGTAGTACTGAGGGAATGATACGGGGCCAGGGATCAAACTAAGGTCAGCTGCATTTCCTCAAGCACCTTTTACCCTGTACTATTTTTCTGGCCCAGAGGCTGCCTATCTATCTAATGATACTAGACACCATTGACCCCAAAGCCCATTAGGAGCCTGCTGTGAAAGTTAAATGCTCTTCAGACCTAGATTTTACAATAGCCTGTCAAAGTACTGTTGTCTCCACTTCAAGACCACAGAACCAGGGGGTTTGGCCAGCCAAGTAGCTTCACCAAGAGCAAGTGGAGGTTTGTCAGAAAGCACATTTGTGGCAAAGGGGTCAAAGGAAATCCCGCTTCAAAAGCTTGGACTACATTTTAATCTAGGCCTGAGCACTTCAAATTTCCTTACTTGAGGCAAGTTACTTAACCTTTTAACTTTCAGTTTCCTCAATTTTAAAAGGAAAGGAAAGCAGTGGCGAGCCTATAGAAGGGAAAATGAAGGGCAAGCACATGGAGCCTAGTAAGTGCTCAGTAAATTATGAGCATAGGCCTTACTGCAGAGCACTGAAGGGGCCCTGAGAACTTTGGGTCCCTGCTTTAAGGCTCAGGAGTTTGGGTGCTAAGAGATTGGATGTGTCCTGAGAAATTTGCTCTTTTTAAAATTTTTTATATTGAATCACAGTGAGATACACAGTTACTAGGTTGTTTATGATTGAGTTTCAGTCATACATTGTTATAATAATACCCATCCCTTCACCAGTGTACATTTCCTACCACCAATGTTTAGCCATTTTATTATTGGGCGACAACACAAAGTATAATCCTACATAAGTCTGGGGATATTAGTGGCGGGAAATTCACAGTGGTGGTGGGATTGTATGGGAAGTGGTATGGTTGAAACTTATTTTTCCTTTTGTTCTTTTGGTCACACCCAGCTGTGCACAGGCTTACTCCTGAACACACTCAGGGATCATTGCTGGTGGGTTCAGGTGACCATATGGGGTGCTGAGGATCAAACCCAGGTCAGCCGCATACAAGACAAGTGGCTAAGAGGGAAAAAGACTTCATATTAAGCATGCATAAGTATATGTACATACATATGCATAATGTATCTCTTTTTTCCTTTTGGTTTATGGGCCACACATAGCTATGCTCAGGGCTTATTCCGAGCTCTGTGCTCTGAGGTCACTCCTGGTTCACGGGACCAGGGATTAAATCCAAGTTTGCTGCTTGTAAGACAAATGCCCTGCCCGCTGTACTACTGGATACACACACACACACACACACACACACACACACATACACACATCACTGAAATTGTCTAATATTCCCAGGTATTTTTCCTTAGCCTTGCCCTTAAAAAAACTTTTTTCTTTGCAGGTGCTGGAGAGCGAATCCAAGGCTTCACACACATAAGGCAAGTCCTCTCCTGCTGAACCACATCCCTAGCCCTCCTTCAGTCTTTAGAAAAGGAAATTTTTGCACATTTTGCTCAGGTATGCAACATATATTTGTACTTCCTACCTTGTGCTGGAGCACTTTTCAATCTTTCTAACCAGCAGACTGGCCCCAGTTAGTGGACCGACTGTTAGACACTACCCCAGAGACTGGTGGTGCAGTACTAAGAGGGAAGGCAAATCCTTGCAAAAGGGCTATGAGGGATTTCAAGAAGTCATAAAGTCTGAGAAGAAAAGAAAGTGAGTTTTTTGATTTAAGATACTCCTGATTGAAGGAGGATGAGAAAAGTATTAGACTGGGTATTTAGGAAAGCTCGTTGAAGAGGTGACCTTTGAGTAAAGACCTAAAAGAGGGGAAAGAGTGAGTAATTTGAAGATCTGAAACGAAGCATTTTCGGTACAGGGAGCAGCAAATATAAAGTCTCTGGGGGCAGGGATGAACCTAAGAAGAGTGGAAGGACTGTTTCTACTTGGTCCAATAAAAGGATGGAGGAGCAATCAAAGAGACACGTGTGGATATGAAGGAGGAGAGGTTTTGAGAAGAGAAAGACAAAGAATGAGAATATAATGCCATGAAGTAGAATTCCTGAAGAAGATGCTTAAGGGGGTGAAATGCAGTGGCCAAATTGGCCTTGGGTATGAGTGGGGATGGTTCATTCATTCTGTTCTTTGTCTTTTTTTTTTTTTTTTGCCATAGCGGGTGGGGTAGGTGCAGTTTGAGCCACTCTGGGCATTAACTCTTGGATCTATACTCAGGGATTGTTCCTGGGAGTGCTCAGGGAACCATCTCTGGTACTGGAGATTGAACCCAGTCACATGCAAGGCAAGTACCTTATCCGCTGTACTATCTGCTTGGTCCCTAGTTCATTTTTAACAGGAATGATGGCAGAGCATAAAAGGAACAGCAAGTTGTACAATCTGGTGATACATTTCTCTAATTAAGTAAGAAGACTTTAATCTGTTTAACTATAAGGGAAAAAAGAAATTTTGTAAATTGAAAGAGAGAGAAAATGTTGTGTTAAGCGAAAGAAAAAAATTTCATAGTGAGATTTTCACAAAAATTCCATAGTAAGATATCTCATATGATGATATAACTTTAAATACTGCATTCTCCCTTTTTAATATAAAAGTATTCCCCGACACTTGTGGGGAATAAATATATAATTTTGTTATATTTTAAACATAAACATGTGCATCTACCTATTGACTAGCATTAGGCTATATCTAATTGCTAATAATTATAAGTAAATGTGAAATTAACATGTTTAGGACTTAAAGCTTTTTCTGTAATTGGAGTATCCCATAAGGATAGATTCATGGACATGGAATTATCAGGTCAAAGGATCTTGATTTATATAACCAGACTGCTGTCCAACAAGTCAGTGAGCACTTCTTTGGCAGAATAAGAGACTTATCAGGGTCCTGCCAAAACTGAGCAGTTATCACCTAAAAAGCACAGAACACAAGATATTGCTGATTTGAAAAATGGGGAGAAGAAATGAACAGAAGTTTCCTCAAAAAAGAAATACAAATGGCCAAAGGCACATGAAAAACTGCTCCACATCGTTAGCCATCAGGGAGATGCAAATCAAAACAACAATGAGATATCATCTCACACCACAGAGACTGGCACACATTCAAAAGAAGAAAAACAACCTGTGCTGGCATGGATGTGGGGAAAAAGGGATGCTCTTTCACTGTTGGTGGGAATGTCCACTAGTCCAGCCTTTCTGGGAAACAATATGGACAGTCCTTCAAAAACTAGAAATTGAGCTTCCATATGACCCTGAAATACCACTTCTGGGAATATATCACAAGGATACAAAAAAGCACAGTAGAAATGACATCTATACCTATATATTCATTGCAGCACTGTTTATAATAGCCACAATCTGGAAAAAACCCAAGTGCCCTAGAACAGATGACTGGTTAAAGAAACTGGTACATCTACACAATAGAACACTATGCAGCTGATAGAAGAGATAAAGTCGTGAACTTTGCTTATAAATGGATAGACATGGAGAGTATCATGCTAAGTGAAATGAGTCAGAAAGAGAGGGACAGTATGAAACAACATAACATGAGGCTGATACCTAAGAATAGTAGATACACGGGACAAGAAGATTGCTCTATAACTGGAAGCCTGCCTCATGAGCAAAGGGGAGAAGGCAGCTGGAATAGAGAAGGAATCACTAAGAAAATGATGGCTTGAGGAACTGGTCGGGATGGGAGATGTGTGTTGAAAGTAGATAAAGGACCAAACATGATAATCGCTCAGTGTCTGTATTGCAAACCATAATGCCCAAAAGTAAAGAAAGAATATGGGGATATTGTCTGCCATGGAGGCAGGGGGAGGGTGGGAAATGGGGGGGTATACTAGGGATATTGGTGATGGAGAATGTGCACTGGTGGAGGGATGGGTGTTTGATCATTGTGTGATTGTAACCCAAACATGTAAGCTTGTAACTATCTCACGGTGATTCAATCAAATTTTAAAAAATGAAAAATGAAAAAATAAAAAGAAAGATGAAAACAATTACTTATTCAATCTGCGTTTCCTCATACTTTGTTCATGTGTTTGACAGCCATGTTGTAATTTTCAAGACACTTGTTTTGCGAAGTCAATTGGAAAAGGTGGGTTCAGTTGGAGATCTTTGAAATCATGCTGAGGCGTTTCCATTCAAAGCAGAAGGAAAGGGGGTCACAAAGATTTTTGAGTGGGGAAATGACATAATGAAAGCAATGTTTAAGGAAGTTTAGTCTAGAAGGAGGTTGCAGGATGAACTGGAATGAGGAAAAAGTGGCATCTGGAAGGCCAGCTCACCAGTTGTAATTCAGGTCAGGAATGATGAAGCCCAAATCTGGTTGGTGGGAAAGGAAGTGGAGAGGAAGAAATGGAAACTGATTATTGTAGAAACAACCCACAGGAATTGATGCTTCACTGGATACCAGAATAGACAGAGAAGGGCCCAAGATGGTTTCAATATTCTGAGCCCAGATAGCAGGGAGAAATGAGAACTTTTCTTGACTGAAACTTTGTGGCTATGTCACTTAATCTCCTTGAGGTGATTTACCTAGCTGTAAAATGAGAATACATAATGTTTGGTTCTCCTATGTTATGATATCACAGCTTTGAAAAGTATAGGATAT